ATGGCTAAGGCCATCAATTATATTATGGCTAAGGCCATCGCCGCCAACGGTCGACCTAGATTCGACTACGGTGAGTAAACGACTTGACGACAGTCGAAGTTGCGCACACGGCTAAGACCATCAACAATATTAAGGCCGAAAATAAAAGGTACAAAAAGAAAAGAATAACAGCAAAAGTATAACTTCCATTATCATCCAAAAAATACATGTACAAAAGGACCCATTTACATCTCCAAATACAGCAAAACAAAATGAATACAAGTCCTAAGGGGCTTCGCCATTCTGTTCACCGCCTCCCGTCGGACCGCCATCTCGTCCACCGCCGTCCTCGGCCTGATAGGCCGCAGAGATCCAAGAGCCGGATTCTAGACGGTTAACGTCTTCGGAGTTATAGCCCGCCCGGTCTGGGGAATCAGAACTATACCCACAAATTTCACGGGCGACACGGGCTATGCGTCGTTGCTCTTGAACCTCCGCCTCAGTAGCTCGACCTGCAGCTAAGAACTCCTCGAATACAACCAATCTGGCCTCGGCATATACCCACATGTCATGCGCCTCATGATGCGCATCCTCATCAAGCCTTGGTGCAGCAGTCCGCTTGAGGACTTCAATCTCAGCCGCCTTGGCGTCGAGTTCGGTGGTCATAGCGGCAACCTTGATCCGCAAATCAGCAGCTTCCGCCGCTACCCCACGGCCAACCTCCAACTCTTCTTCCTTAGACTGGAGAAGAGTCTCCAGCTCAATGTTCCGAGCCAGGGCGGTCATCAGCTGCTCGTCGATCTACTCCAACTCGGCCACCCTCCATTTCAGCCGGGCCTCCGACTGCTCCAAACCCTCACGAAAAACCCGAAATTCTGGGTCCTGCTTGAGTAGGTCCGCCAGCGCCTGATGCTTGACACGGCACCGCCGATATTTCTTTACCACCTTGTTAAAGGTGGCTGCCTTCCTTTGCGCTCGCCGCCCCCTCTCTATCTCCAATATGAGAGTCTAAAAAAGAGGAAGCGGAAAGGCAAGTCAGTATGCATCAAAATTTACTTTACGGTACATGAAGAAAATCGAAAAATACCTGCAAGGCCGCGCCGGCAACCCTCCGGGATAGTTCCCCGTCGCTAACCCCTTGTAACGTTTCACGCTCAGCGGCCGCACATAGCAGGGTCATGTCCGTTGCGGCCTGCTCGCTGTGTTGCAACAGGTTATACCCTCCTGGGATCAGAATTCGGGGAGCCGATCTACCTGCCGTCATCCCCACACGGGTCAGACCCCGATGGGGCTCGCTCGCCCCCTCGTCTTCTGGGGCTATCCCCTTGCCGGTTATCAACCGACGTCTTTTCCTTTCCGGCGGCTCCTTGCTCTCAGAAGTCTCCTCCACAGCCCGTGGGGATGGCATTGAAGGAGTCGCTCCCCTCGTGGATGCCGCCATGGGCAGCGTTTGAGGAACCTCCGCAGCGCCCTCACTGGGCGAACCACAGGGTATGTATCCGTCTTCAGAATCAGTCCCCGCCCCAGGCGAGGTGACGACGTTCTTTTTCTTCTTCTTAGGAGCGCTCCGACCTGCCAACGATAAGTCAGGAAACAAGAACGTAGGGAATTCCCAAATCGTAGCCAAAGAATTACCTGACGGGCCGTACTATTGAAGAAATGCAGCCCAGGTACGGCATTCCTCCGCATAAGGTATTATTCTTTCCACCCATGATTTAATGTCATCAATGAACTGGGTGGAGAAGCCCTCGCTGCGAATAAAAAAAGGAGAAAAGCAAAGAATTCACAATGGCCGTATGGTCAAAAGCGCAAGCAGTCCTGGATTCTACGAGTAGAAATACTTACGTTCTGGATTCCATCTTTCGGGGAACCCTTCGGGATTCGACACTAGGTGCTCCGTCCTGATGTAGAAATATTTACGCCAAAAGCGGCGGTTGGGCTTATCATCGGCTTTAACAACCAAGCCCCTTGTGCCACGACCTTTTAACTGCAGCATGGTACCCCTCAGGTAACCAGGGCTGAATAACTGTAAGAGGTGGTGGACCGAGACACTGCACTCAGCCCTGGCCGCATAAGTGGTCACAATACGGCACACCTTCAAGGTGTAAGGAGTGAGCTGGGCCGGACACACATTATAAAAATGGCAAAGCTCCTCCATCAGAGGGTAGATTGGAAGATTGTAACCGATCAAGAACGGGTACTCATAGAATGTGCAATATCCAGGCCGGTGCACATTGACACAGTCCGTCCCTGCCGGAACCATTTCCACGTGGTCCGGAATATGGTGCGTCTCTCGCAGATCATCTAAATGGGATTGTAATATAATGCTGTACTCCCAGGGAAGGTATGGGCTTTTAGTTGGAAAATCCCTGCGGACATGCATCTCCTTCGGAAGGACGTTGTCTACGCTGAGAGGAACAAGGGCCTTCTCCGCCTTTTCCCCTTCACCACCGGAAGATGGCGGAACCCTAGACGGGGCATTATCTTTGGCCTTTTTACTACTCTGTCCACGTTTTGTCATGAGTATACTGCGTAAGAAACGAAGCACTGACGATAGGAAGTGTGGTTTCAACAGAAGTGGGAGAGTCCCTCGCGAAATAACGGTTACAGGAAAGAAAGACAAAGGAGTATATCAGAAAATGCTTTCCGAAGGCTTGAAAGTTGAATCGAATCGAACCTCTCTCCTACTTATAGGGATAAGTTGCGCAGAAATCGAAGAGTCATGATTCAAAGCGTGCGCGGGAAACCAAAATGTCACATCATCCTCTGAACCGCCTCGGGGGCAAATATAATAATGATGCATACAGGCAATGACGTCATTCCAAAAAGGAAGCCACGCGTCAGTGGCTCAACAACGTCATATATTTCACCTCGTTCATATTGCCGCCCCGGGTCGAGGTCAAATTCTCCTAAGCCGAGGTTCACATTTCCGCCCATCGAAGACGCCCACCAAATGCGTCTCCAACGAGCGAAGGACTAACTGTATAGGGTCAAATTTGACCCTCAGCATCTCTACGCCAGTGGGTACGCCCAGTGAGTGTACGCCGACTAACGTAGCGGGTACGACTCGGCCGTGGGGACAAAAGCGACATCGTTTAGGACTCAGTGTCTTCACTAGGGAGACGTTACCTGTCTTTGTAACTTTTTGATTCTTTCGAGGATGGTCTCTTATTATATAAAGGAGACCCTCATATTGTAAAAAGGGCATCTGATATAATACAACTCTCTCATTTTTCCAGCTTTCTCTCTCTATCTCTACTTCAAACGAACATATCTTATTGAGTTCATATTATCACTTTGCAATACTAGATCTACAACAATATTATCATCTTTGCATCTCTAGGATTATTATATTTGATTACGATTTACCCCTTTTTCTACTTTTGATTGTTTTTTAGCTTACAAAGTATATCGTTAACTTTTGAGCCAAACAATATTAAATTTAATAGATTAATTAAGTATTGATTGCTTGCAAATTAGTTACTCTAATATGGTATTAATCTAACCAATGATATCGATATTCCAGCAATACGATAATTAACGTAAAGAGATTTATGAAATCTGAAGATTTGCAACTAGCTAGTGTTTAATTTTACATGGCTTATGTTTTAAAATTTTATTTCTTCTTCAGATCAGTTTATGTGGTATACACAATATTAGGAGGTGTTAGCATATATGTGGTTGGCAAAGAAGAATATGATGAACTTGTTTGTAAGTATTTTAAGCTTCGTATTAATCATTTATTGTGCTTCATTTCATTGTATTGGGCTCAAACCAGCCCAAAGTTACTCCAGATATGGTGTGATATTGATCGCTTTGGGCTAAGCCCGTCCGCACAATTTTTTCCAAAAGGCCTCACACTATTAAAAGATTCTTACACCTTATATGTAGGTTTCAAAATTTTTCAACTACCAATGTGGGACTTCGTTCGCACATCCAATAATCTTCCCTCGAACTAAGTTTCACGAAGCCCATTTCCACATTCACGGGTCTCCCTCTTGAACCAAGTTTCACGTGGCCATTACCATGATCCACATGTTAATTTTCGAGATTCAGTATGTGCCACCCACTTCGTCAGAATATTTATTGCAACCGAAGCCTGAAACTAGTTTCTTTTGTTTTTGTGTGTGTTCTAAGCTCTAAAGGGGAAGTAAATCGAGCCCCACGACATTACTCTCCCATTGCCTTACTCGTCCTATCGAATTTGGACGCTGATATCAGTTGTTATGCTAAACTAGCCCAAAGATATTCTTAGCATAGTGTGAACTATCCGCTTTGGACCAAGCTCGTATGATTTTCTAAAGAGGTCTCTTTTTCGGCTACTAATATGAGATTTCGTTCCCGCACCCAACATATTGCAAAACCATTTTTAATGAAATGTGACTTGCTATTTAATATTTCTAGTTGTACACGAATATTCTAACGAATCAAAAGCCATTTTTATTGTCAAAGTTATTGAAGTTTTAATGTGATTATCATTTAATATTGTGATTTCTTTTGAAGTATCAGAAGTAATCTATGTAGTTACTTCAATTGTGAGAGATGCATGTGGAAAGCCTCCAAGTGAACGTCTCTTCCTAGACAAGTATGGAAAAATATGCTTGTGTTTAGATGAAATTGTTTGTAAGGTAAGTTTTCACATTATTATATTTTAAAAAAGTTTGCTTGGATTTATACAAATAAAAATATACTTGAATAGTTAATATTCTCTATTTTGGCAAGTGGCAATAGAATAAATTACAAAAGACTTGAGTTTGTTAATTCATTTATTATTATGTCATAATGTTTTCAAATTAATATGTTTACCTTTTGTATTTTGAAGGGGTTGCTCGAAAATACAGAGAAAGACAGAATCAAAAGACTTGTGAGATTAAAACCGCCATCAGAGTTATGAGTGATTAGCACCTCAACCTGCATCACTTGTTTCAGCAGTGGCAGCTATGGTTTTAGCAACGTTTAGCTTTAGCAAACCTGTGACTGTCCTGAATAGGCTGGTCTACGCTTAGCCAATATTCCCAACTTATTGTCTCGATACTGACAACTCAGTGGATATTGAATAGGTAACATATTCCGTCAAAACTGTAAATTGAGCATAAAATAAAAGGTAACGGCATCAACAATAATGGAGTTCGCCAATTTGACAAAATAAGAATTTTTGTTCTATTTAAAGTTTAATAGCTATGTCGAATTAAGGTTCTTGTTCCTGCATGACCACGTTCAAATGTTTATTAAAAATTCTTACATAATTTACATTGAGTTCTTTGCACATTTAGATATCTCGAGTCATTAATTGCTTTATCATATGAGTTTTTCTTATAATCAAATTGTGTTGCTTATTGTTTGCCATTCAGATTGGTTACTGATAAATATTAAATTTAAATAATTTCCTAATTTTTGTTAACTTTTGAGAAACAAAATATCGTGCAATGTCGTTTCATTATAAATCTTTAATCCTCAATGTCATAAAATAACATATTATACCCTCTTAAGAGAAGAAGGTGAACAAGACGATGTTGACGTTGTAAAAAAACAAGCAAGAACAAATAACATATCAAATGCATCGTCCTAAATTACAAAAATTGAACGTAAATAGAAGTGTTAAAATATGAATTGTAAATTCCAATCACCAACTTAGAGAGTTGAAATAAATTTCATAAAATATGAGTTTGGAAGATGACGACAGAGAATTAGGAAAGAATTGTGAGTTGTTGTATGAAAGAAATAAAATTTAAATGTAACGACCCCGTCGTTCGTTTTGAGATTATGAGCCCCGATCCCCTATTTATTGCTTCCTCTGTTTCATTCTGTGGTTACTTGACTTGCCGGGGTGCTTGGTGTCGGGTTCGGGTGAGTTTCGGAGTGGAATCCCTAAGTTTAAAGTTTAAGTTGTAAGAGTTGACCGTAGGTTGACTTGTGTAAAAACGACTCTAAAATAAAGTTTCGTCGGTTCCAATAGCTCCGTATGGTAATTTTGGTCTTAGGAGCATGTCCGGATGTTGATTTGGAGGCCCGTAGGTCATTTCGGCGTTATTTTGCGAAAGTTGGAAAAGTTGGAAGATTTTGGAAGGTTTGACCGGTAGTGGACTTTTTGATATCGGCATCGGATTCCGATTCCGGAAGTTGGAGTAGGTCTGTAATGTCAATTATGACTTGTGTGAAAAATTTGAGGTCAATCGGACTTGATTTTATAGGCTTTGGCATCAGATGTGGAAGTTAGAAGTTTATAAGTTCATTAAGCTTGAATTGGGGTGCGATTCGTGGTTTTAGCATTGTTTGATGTGATTTGAAGGCTCGACTAAGTCCGTATTGTTTTAGGACTTGCTGGAGTTATTAGTTGAGATCTCGAGGGCCTCGAGGGTGATTCGGACCATGTTCGGCGCATTTCGGAACATTAGGACTACTGAAATCTGGTGCTTCTGGTTTCCTCTGCGCGTTCGCGAAGGTATTCCCGCGTCGCGTAGAGGAGTTTGAGATTTACTGGAAATTTGCCTTCGTTTGTGATAAAGGTCCCACATTCGCGAAACTTTGTGAGTATCAGGTCTACGCGTTCGCGAAAGGGTCCATGCGTTCGCGAGAGGAATGGTCAGTTGGGGCACCAAGCTTTAAGCATATGCGATCGCGTAGTTGTACACGCATTCGCGAAGTGTCGGGTCGGGTAAGCATCACGTTCGCATCAGTTGCTTCGCGTTTGCGTAGACCATTTTTGGAGGATATGATTATTTGTTCTTCGCGATCGCGATGTAGGTCCCGCGATCGCAATGCATAACATCTGCGCAGCAGTATTAATTTTCAAAAACGAGGGTTTGAACCCATTTTTCATATTTTGAGCTAGAGACCTCGGATTTGGGCAATTCTTGAAGGAATTTTCAAGGATTTGATTGGGGTATGTGATTCTAACTCGGTTCTAGTTGTATTACATGAATCCATCGTTGTTTTTATGATTTAATTGGTGATTGGAGTTGGAAATTTTGGCGGGAAATAGTGAAAGTTCTTATACCGAATTTTTGGGTTTTGAAAGGCCAACTGAGTTCGAATTTGGATAATTCTTGTATGGTTGGACTCGATATCGAATGGGTATTTGGTTTTTGTAATTTTGGTCGGGTTTCAAAACGTGGGCCCGGGTTGACTTTTTGGGGCGATTTTCCAATTCTTTGTTAAATTCATAATTTCATTATTTAGATTAGTTTTCTATAGTTATACTTATAGTATTTAATTGTCTTTGGCTAGATTTGAGCCGTTCAGAGTCGGAAAATCGAGGGAATGGCCTTCTAATTGACTGATTGAGCATGGTTTGAGGTAAGTGACTTGTCTAACCTTGTGTGGGCAAATCCCCCTGATTTGGTACTATTGTGATAATTTGTGGTATGCGAGTGCCGTGTACGCGAGGTGACGAGCGCGTACACGGGCTAAATATTAAATTTTCATTTTTTTCGCTAGGTAGTTTCCTTTCATGCCTTAACTGAGTTATTTTAGCACATGTAGTCATCATGTTTAGCCTAATTGCACATCTCTACCTATCTTATCTCTTAATTGCAGTTTGTGCTACATACTTAGTTGAATTACATGTTTTCTTGATTCCATATTCATCATTTAACTGTGTGATTCCTTACTCGAAATTACTACCTTTGAAATATCATTGTTTAGCTGTTATGTTTTGGTTTCCGTGATTGTTGTTGAGATGATTGTTTGGTTGTGGCATGGGGTTTCTGCTATGCGGATTGTTATTGTGGCACGAGGTTTCTGTCGTGCAGATTGCTATTGTGGAACAAAGTTTTGGCCGTGCAGATTGTTATTGTGGCACGAGGTTTCTGCCATACAGAGTGTTATTTGGCACGAGATTTCTGCCGTGCGGATTGTTATTGTGGCACAAGGTTTTTGCCGTGCGGATTGTTATTGTGGCACGAGGTTTCTGCTGTGCGGTTGGACTTTCCTCTAATTGTTGTATTGTTTGTGCTTGTTGTTGTTGTTCCTTAACTTGTAAGATTCTTATTTTCTTACGTGTTGTATTTGTCTTCTTTGATTCCCGTGCTGTTGTTTTCCGTACATTGTTATTGTTTCATTTCCCTGCCATGTTATTGTATCATTTTATCTTCTGCCTTATTTCTTATATTCCAGTAGGTAGCTTTTAGGGTTGTTCATTTGGATCGGATATCCGGAATCTGAACCGATCCACTCAATTTCAGATTTTGGATTCCGGATATTCCGGTCGAATTCAGATTGGTAGAATTTTAACCCTATCCGAAATCCGAAATTATTAAGGCATGTATAAATACTAAACTTTAATTTTGGATTGTCAGTATTTCCTTTACATCTTCCTCCAAGTTATTACCTTTACAATTGCTGGATTTAGCTATATTGGCACCATAGTACTCTCATAATTGCAGAAACATGAATTTTTCTTACTGTATTGCCTCTTCTACAAAGAAAATATACATTTGAGTTTGCAACTTTGAGGCATAATAATCCGATCCGAAATCTAAAATATTGATCCGATCCAAACTTTAAAATTCGATCGGATTCGATATTAATTCGGATCGGATTCGGATTGCATTTTGTAGAATATGAAATTCAAAATCCGAATCCGAAATGTGCTAAATCTGATCCGGTCCGATCCATGCATAGCCCTACCCTGACATGAACTCGTCACTACTCTATCGAGGTTAGGCTTGGCACTTACTGAGTAACATTGTGGTGCACTCATACTACGCTTCTGCACAATTTTTTGTGTAGATCCAGGTACTTCCTACCAGACCTGATATCCGTGAGCTAGTCCGTACGTGGAGACTTCAAGGTATATCTTCCAGCGTCCGCAGACCTCGGAGTCTCCTTCTATCTTTATTATGTTGTTTTCCTTATTCTCATTAGACTCTAATATATAGAGATATTTAGTATTTCTCTTAGAGCTTGTGACTTATATCTACCGGGTTTTGGGAGTTGTTTGTACTCTGAGTTGTAGATTTTATTTATTACAACCGTTGATGTTTTGAGTTTAGCTTAATATCTCAGTTATTCCGCATACATGTTAGGATTACCTAGTCTTAGAGACTAGGTGTCGTCACGACATCTTACGGAGGGAATTTGGGTCGTGACAAGTTAGTATCAAAGCTCTAGGTTCATAAGTGTTATGAGTCACAAACAGGTTTAATAGAGACTCGCGGATCGGTACAGAGACGTTTGTACTTATCTTTGGGAGGCTATGGAACTGTTAGGAAAAGCTTCACTTCTTTGATTCCTTGTCGTGCGAAATTGTTGACTTCGGGATTCTAAACTTGTCTTTCTATTCTCTCACATATGGTGAGGACACGTACAACCGGATCAGATGACCAGACACTCGTGCCCCCGGCTAGAGCCGCGAGAGGTCGGGGCTGGGGTAGAGGCCGAGGACGTCCACGAAAACTGCAGCCCTAACCTCGGGCTGAACTGGGGCTACTGCAGCCATAGTTCAGCCCGAGCTTGGAGCCGGAGGATGCCCAGGGTTTTCTTGAGTAGTGCCACCGTATCCTCCGTACTATGGGTATTGCGGAGTCTAGTAGGGTTGCTTTCATTGTGTTCCAGCTTAAGGGAATGACTTATCAGTGGTGGCGAGCATATGAGTTGGGTAGTCCGGCCGAGGAAACTTCACTCACTTGGACTCAGTTCTCAGATATGTTCTTGAGGGCGTATGTTCCCCAGAGTCTTAGAGATGCATGGCGCGCAAAGTTTGAGCAGTGCACCAGGAGTCTATGACCCTGTCGGAGTATGCGGTCCGGTTCAGTGATTTGGCTAGGCATGCACCAGCATTGGTTGCTACTGTTAGAGAGCGGGTCCGTCGATTTATCGAGGAGCTCAACCCCAGTATCAGATTTAGGATGTCCCGAGAGTTGGAGATGGACATTGCATACCAGCAGGTAGTGGGGATTGCTAGGATATTGGAGGGCATGCTGACCCGGGAGAGAGAGGGGAAAGAGTCCAAGAGGTCTGGAGAGTCTGGCACATATAGTGGTACTCGTGCTCCAGCTGCAGCTCGTCAGAGGTAGGGGCTATGTGAGTCGCCATGTTCATTCAGCATTTCCAGCTGCCAGCGGTATTTCGGCCATTCCTAGGGCTCAGGCTCCCTATTATGCACTACCATTATCTAGCGCACCTCCTCCACAGGGTGCTTTCAGCGGTCAGTCCAGCCGATCAGACCCGAGCCAGCCACAACAGCCACGTCCTCAAAGA